GCTCATGTAATAAGTGGACCTTGTTTGGGATTCCTTGCTCTCATGTGCAACATGTATGTCGTGATTTCCATTTGGATGCCGAAACTTTGGTTGCCGAGTACTACAGTGTTAGAAACCATAAGAACACATATAGTGGCGTGTTTCACCCTTTGCTGCCTGAAATGTGCTGGGAGGATGCAGATTTTGAGCTATTTCACGATGTTACCCTACGGAAAGCTACACGACGGGACATGATGGCAACAAGGACAACGGGCACGAAGTATATTTAACCAAACTGATTTATTCAAGCTTCAACATGACTTAAAAAATTTTGAATTTAAAATGACATTATTACCATGTTAGTAGAAACTATATTTAGTCAAGCCATGATCTAGCACATATACAATCTAGCCGACCATATAGGCGGCAGAAACTGAAAATAAAGTAATAACAAAATTTAAATACAGAAACTTAAAATACTTACAATGATAAAGACGACCAGTAGCAAGCTTTTATTTATAAAACACAAGGTTTTTACAAGAGAGAGGTTTGGGAGAGAGTAGGAAAGGCCAGAAAACTGAATGCCCTTCCAGAATGAAAGACAAGCCTATAAATAGAGAAATCGCGGACATGAAACCCCGGATTTCAAAATAGAAAATAAAACTAAAGGTGATATTTCACCAAACAAGTGACTCAGAAGTCAAAAAGGTGAATAATTACCACCACAAAAAGAAATGACTCAAAAGTCAAAAAGGTGATTAGCAATTTTGTCCACTATGAAAGACAATAATGCTCATACTTTAATAATGCTCAAACTTTAATTTTTGTCGTCTCCTTCATGACTTTAAGAGAGAGTCTTTAAACTCTTCAAATGCATTATCAATGTCTGGGAGGTCTTCAATATCATTATCAATATCATCCTCCGGATCTTGCGCATCTTGCAAAGGATTATTTGACTTGGTAAAACTTGACTCAGAGTTCATGGAAGCATCTGATCCTGAGCTTCTAATCTGTTTATATATATCCTTCTTCATTTGCTCGAGGAAAATATCAATAATTTTTTCCTTTGGATAGATCTCAGAATATTTCTGAGCAAAGAGTTTGAAAGGACTAGTATTCTCATCTTCCTCTCGTTTTTCTTGATCATTTCTATAAACACTGATTTTTTCTTTTATTTTTTCAATGGTTTCGGAGCCAAATATTTCTCCTGTTTCTGTATCAAGGCGCATGAGTTTTTCCCAGAACTTACACATGCTAATTCTCCATAAGCATGGAGCTCCGTAGTTGGTATAACCAAAAGTTGGTTTCCACTTCCAAATCCATGGAATACCAAATTCGATAAAAAATATGCAGGAAGTTTTTCCTTCAATGTATTTCTCATTATTTTGAATGCTGGGAGAAATGGCTACCCATTCTTTCATAAGACTGCTGAATTTTTCAGGCAAAATGTTTGTTGATGGTCCAAAAATTCTCCACCAAGAAAAAAAACCAAGTAGGGATTGGTTTGTGAAAAATATTTTCACATATCTTAATAAACCAAGAATGCCTTTGTTTTTTGTTTTCAAAGTAAAAAGTTTTATTAAAACTTTCTATATAATCAAAATAGTTGAATTTGAAATTCGTATTATTTTGGGAGAACATCTCTTTCTCACTAAGGGGAGAAATTCCCCATTCTTCAAAAGATATAATCTTTTTAATAATGATTTTGGAAAAGCTATAATTTCCTTTATCTTTTTCATTTCCTGAAGAAAAATGGTTGATCTCAACACTCTTCATATGAACGAGGATATTTTCATAGAATCCTCTTGGTTTGTATGAACCATATGACAAAGAGCTATTACTCAAATATCTCTCCATGATTATCCATGGGTTATCTGCCCATTGTGAGTCCTTTTCTTCTATAAGAAGAATGATTTCCTTATTAAGACTTTCAATGTAGAGATGTGAATCATCATCATCTTTTGCAATATTGGCATACGATGTATGTGAACTTGACTCAGGGATATTACCTTCTTTCTGTTGTTTTTGTTTCAAGAATTCTTGGAACTCATTATGAAGTGGATCTTTTGGATTACTAGAAGTAGTACTTCCAGAAAAGCTTTGAGCTATAAGCTTCTTTCTCCCATGCTGAAGGATAGTGTTTGAAGTATCATTTCTTCCATCGTAATTTTGATTAGGGGGTTTACCCCTACCACCTCTTCCTCTATAAGAGGAAAGATAACCCCGTCCAGGTGTACTCATTCCTGAAGATTTAGACATGTCAGGTATTCACGAGTTAAGAAGTCAGGAAGATGATTTTCTTCCCCTCGTTTATAGATAATTTGAAAATCAAAAGGTGCTAAATGAGCTTGCCATCTAGCAAACATTTGTTTTGAAACATCATGTTTAAAATCTTTTATAAACATGAATCTTGCAGACTGACAATCTGTTTTAATAATAAATTTCTGATTATATAAATCATCCTGAAATTTAAGAACACTTCTAACAATGGCAAGAATTTCTTTTGCAATAGTAGAATAATTCTTTTGTGCATTGTTCCACTTACCAGAATAAAATCTAACAAGATATTCTTGTTTATTTTGGGGATTAACCTGTTTGAGGATTCCTCCAAATCCAATATCAGAAGCATCAGTTTCAATAATTTTTTCCCATTGGGGATTAGCAATCATTAAGCAGGGGAGATTTTTAACCTTCTCTTTGATTTTCCTAACTGCCTCAGTATGTTTATCAGACCAAGGTAAAGGATTTTTTTTTAACCTATCATAAAGAATAGATGAGTCTTTATTGAGATTTTCAATATAAGGGGAAATATAATTCAGACTTCCTAAGAATCTTTGTAACTGGGTCTTATCAGTAATAATATCAGGGAATTTTGATGCAAATTCAATGCTTCTTTGAATAGGAATAATATTTCCCTTTTTAATGTTATGACCGAGAAATTTAATGCTTGTTTGAAAGAGAACCATCTTAGGTTTTGAAATGACAAGACCATTTAGTATAACAATCTTTTTGAAAAGTTCCAGATGTTTGAAATGATTTTCAATGTCTTTAGAATAGACAAGAATATCGTCTATATAGACGATGATAAAATCACTATAAGGGGTAAAAATGTCATTCATAATTTGTTGAAATTCTGAAGGGGCATTTTTTAATCCAAAAGGCATAACATTCCACTCATAATGTCCAATAGGAACATTAAAAGCTGTCTTATATCTGTCAGATTTATCAATCTGAATTTGCCAAAATCCAGATTTTAAATCAAACTTAGAGAAGATTAGGGCATGGACAAGTCTGTCTAAAAGATCCTTTTTATTAGGGATAGGATGCCTAATCCATTTTAAAACTTTATTAAGGGGTTTATAATTAATAACAAGTCTAGGAACACCTCTTTCTTGTTCAGAATGTTTATTAACATAGAAAGCAGTACAGGACCATGAGGACTGAGAGGGAGAAATAAGTTTTTTGTCAAGAAGGGATTTTATCTCCTTTTTGCATAACTCCAAATATTCAGAATTCATTTGACAAGGTCTAGCCTTGGTAGGAATATTTTCTTCTTTAAAATTTTCTTCGTAGGGAAGGGAAACAATATGTTTCTTTCTTTCCCAAAAAGCATTTGGAAAGTCATTGCATATTTCAACAGAGAAATTATTATGGATAATTTTAATCTTATCCTGTAATTTGGGATTTTTAAGTTTTTCATCAATAGATAGAAAACTAATTTCTTCTTTTAAAGAATTGATATGGAATTCTTTTCTGTCAATATGCTCTTGTAGTTCATTAAGAACTCTTTGTATAGGTTTTGTTATAAACTCAAAAATTATAGGTTTTCCTTCAAAAGTACCTGTGAGACCTTTTGAATTAACAGAAGCCAAAGGATATATCTGATGTAAAAATGGGAGACCAAGAATGAGTTGGCTAGAAATGTCTTTGGCCAAAAGAAAGCTGGAAGGAATACAATTTTTATCCTTACAAATATAGACTTTAGGAAGTTTATAATTTATGTTGAGAGGTTTTCCACCAACATGTGACAGGGAATGAGAAGTTTTATGAAAATATTTTGTAGGGATAAGACCTTCTTGTATAACATTGAAATCAGCACCACTATCAATCATGGCAATAAATTCTCTTTTATATGTATTATCAATAAGAAGGATAATTCTAGTATACCATTTCTGAGATATGATCATAGTAATTGTGGAAAGATGATTTTTTTCTAAGGATATTTCCTCAAAATTTTTCTGAATAATATTTTTCCCTTTTTCAATGTCAGAGATACGATTATTAATGAGAGAATTTTCTCTTTTGAGTACTTTAATATCATTTTTCAAATTATCAATCTCATATGATAAATCTTGTATTGTAACAGTATTATGATTAGTATATTTATTTTTTAAAAGCTTATTAACTTCTGTCATAGAATAAGATATATTTGAAGGAGGAACATAATTATCTTCTGTTTCTTTAGAAGTAGAAGGTATATCTTCCATCTGATCAATAATACTTGTTCTTAAATTTGGATCTTTTATTCTTTTTAGGAATTCTAAAATATTGTTACCAGTGAGGACATTGGCGGTTAGGAATTCTAAAATTTATTATTATTATTATTATTATTATTATTATCATTATTATTATTATTATTATTATTATTATTATTATTATTATTATTATTATTATAAAAAAAAAATACTAATATCTGATGAATTAAATAACATAATTAATATCTTCCATATTTTGTTTGTTGCGCATAAAAATTACATTATAGTGATTAAAAGTTGCAAACATAAAGTACGAATTGGGCGGTGTTTCGGGCAACATGGCTGGTTTGAGAAAGCTTCGTCCTCCATAGCCAATAGCCCCATCATCATCACATCAGCTTTTTTCTTCACATTGTCAATCGAGGGCCCCTCTCTCTCTCTCTCTCTCTTTCTCTCTCTCTCTCTCTCTAACTGGGTTTCCCCCTTCATAAAGATCACCAATTTTCCTTTTTCACCTCTCGCATGATATAACTCCAGGTACTTTTAATTTCTATTTTCTCTTTCTTCATGCGATTATTTCTTGCTTAATTTTCATTTTCTTCATTCGCTCATGCAAATACAAATGTTCACGCCTTTCTCTCTCCTTTTTGGAATCGTTTTTTTCTCCACCCCTATTCTCTATAGATGAATCTCATCATTTCTATGTCCACAATAAAGTGAACCCACCAAAAAGTGGCCTTTGATTGCGCTATTAATCTTTCTTGCCCTTTTGGTGTTATAAGTATTCTCTACAGTTGTTTCAGTTAGTGGGATTTTGTTTGTATTTGTGTGTGTGTGTGTGCGTGTGTGTGTGCGTGTGTGTAAGAGAGAGAGAGAGAGAGAGAGAGAGAGAGAGAGAGAGAGAGAGAGAGAGAGAGAGAGAATGTGTGTGTAAAAGAATAGGAGAAAAGAGAAAAGTTTGAAATGAGGAGAGGTTGAATTAGAGGTTTGCCTTGCCATTTTGCCAAGCATGGGTTGGTGTAATTATTGGGTTAAGTGCGCATTGTCAAATTGCTCTTACCTATTCTTTTTTGTCTGTCTCCCGCAATTTTGTGACTGATGAAATTAAGGCGCCGAAAATGTATCCCTTCTTGTGCCTCTCACCACAGAGTAAGCTAGCTGTTGTTATTCCCTCTGTTTTAAAATGATCATTTTCATTACTTGCATTACATTGAATTGTTTGTTTAATTTAAATGGGGATTCGAGGATGTCAATCACAGTGTCGAGAGTTAAGACGATTGCGATTATAGATGCTTATGTGTGATTGTGTTCAGGTTGATGAAGATGAACTATACTGCAATCGGAAGAAGCGAGAGGAAGAATCGGCATGCTCGCGTAATTCAACTCACGTAATATCACAGTTAGCTCAGTGCTTTAGTGAGTCCAATTATTTACTCTATTTTTCGCATTAATTCTTCTCTCACTTAAATCCACTTATACAGAGTTTTCTCACAGTTTAGGAACGTTACCATTTACCTGTCTGTGTTTGCATTCATGTTTTTCGACTCACTTTTACATTACAGCCAAAAGAAAAAAAAAAGAAAAACAAAAAAAAAATAAAGAAGAGGAAACTCGGTGTTACATTGTAAAGAGGAGGAAACTTGATGCTTATGTGGATTTTGCTGATTCGAGTTAATTTCAGACAATGATTTAGTTGATGAATCTGAATCTGATAATTTTTTACCTTAATAATTTCAGTTCGTTTTTCGTCCCGTGTTGTAATATGTGGAGGGGGAAGACTAAGTTGATGCACAATCAATTCTAACTTATCTATTCGATATGTTTTATAGCTTTGGTTTGTTTTGTAGGTAATGCTATGGTTGGACCAAGAGCATGGATAGGAGGATTCTTTAACCGCTACGGCAATAAAAAATTTGGAAGTGACAAATATCTCGACTACACTTTGACTCCTATTCAGGTGATTAGGATCGATATTTTCCGTAAGGCCTTGTTTGGCGTTGCCATGATTATTAACTAAATAATTACGTCTTATTTTTTGTGTTTCGTTAGTGCATTAACTTTTCAGAGCGGCCCTCACTTATGAACAAATGAGCTCTTATCTTGGCTTATTGGGGGATTGTGTATTTGATAATATTGCATGATTTTATTCTGGCTAATCTTATTTTTGGGGACCAAACGAGGCCTAATCTTATTTCCTGTATGACATGCTATTTCTTGTACGCAAGTGTTGTTCGTATCTTTTCGAAAGCTTCTTTGGCACCTTATGGAGGAGATTGCCTTTTGTTAATTGTTATGAATTGAGTTAAGATTGTACGTAATAGGTTTTTCACTGTGTCCTACGATATTATTGTTTGTACTTCGTTTGGTGCAATCTGTTTTTTCTTTTTCTTCTTCTTTTTTTACAGGAAGAAAGGCTGCAAAGTCTTCAAGAACGATTAGGAGTACCTTTCGACGAGACAAGGATTGAACACCAAGTATATTTTTTGCGTTTGCTCTATTCTTTTCCATAATCGATCGAGTTCAGAAAAGGTCAAAAAAAAAAAAAAATCTATTTTTCGCTTCTTGATTAACAGGAAGCTCTACGGGATTTGTGGAGTGCGGCATTCCCAAATGTGAAGCTAAAAAGTTTGATCTCCGAGCAGTGGAAAGATATGGGCTGGCAAGGCGCTAATCCGTCCACTGATTTCAGGTATAATTATTATCTAAAAGGTAAAATTAGGATTACGTAATACAGGAGAACCTCGATAATTTTAATACTCGATAAATTAATAACCTCGTTTAAAGAACAATTTTTTACAGTCCCGACACGGTAAAAATGTACTAAATAATTAGCTCGATAATTTAATATTTCGCTAAATTGATAGAATTTTGTCAATCCCAACTATATTAATTTATAGAGGTTTAACTGTAATGGGTTTTGCATTTGGACTAAATATCTTTCATATTCTTGATTAAAATCCTGTCTTAATTTTTTTATCACGTGCTTGAACGTTTGTTTGGGAAGATTAGCCATGATTAACTAAATAATTGAACTTTGTTTGATGTTTGGTAAACCCTATAATTTTCCGGGTCGACTTGAAAAAAAATAGTTTATCATGGCCTATCTTGCATTTGGAGATTATTCATCAGACCTCCCATGGTCAATAACACAAATTAGGTTTTCGTTAGATTATTTAATCTTATCATTCTGCTTTCGATTATGAACCAAACATGGCCTCAATATTTGACCAAAACTTCATTATATTGTATAACTCCCAAGCAATGCATAAATAACCGAAAGCAGAACGCTACGTACATCTGCTCATATACTTTATGTTGAAGTACTCTGTGTTACTTTTCTCGTTTTTTTTTTCTTTCAAGTAGTACAATCTATGATCATTAATTATGTTGTGCATTTCATAATTCGTCTCAAAATTTTGAGATTATTATTGCCTCTTTATGCTCTGTTATTTGGCTTAGGGGGTGTGGATTAATTTCGCTCGAGAACTTGCTATTTTTCGCTACAACTTATCCGGTATGGTTGATCAGCTGCTCCTTCCAAGAACAAATTAATATGTATTTTATTTACTAATATGAAGTATTCGAAGGTTACTTTTCGTAGGTTACTTCTAAAAGAAGGTGGAAAGCGTGCTCAATGGGAGTACCCTTTTGCTGTCGCTGGCATTAACGTTTCTTATATGCTCATTCAAATGCTCGACTTACAATCAGGTCGTCACTCGATCACCTTTTTTATATTCAAATGCTTTACATTGATAGTTATGTTTTGATTTCTTAAACCGTCTAAATTAAGAAAAGTTAAAACAGTGCTTCGACTTACTGTCTTCGTTGTATTTACAGAAAAACCGAAATGTCTTCCGGGACTTAATTTTCTTAAATTATTGGAAGGTAAAGAAATAATTCAAATACAAAGAATCTCTATTTTCGGGCCTTCATTTGTTTTTAATTTTTTTTTTATTTTTTTTTCACTATTTGATGTTTGCGAGAAATTTGCTTCATACAAGTGCAGAAGAGGAAGACGCTTTTGATGTCCTCTATTGCATAGCATTCGCGTTGATGGATGCTCAGTGGCTTGCCATGCAAGCTTCGTATATGGAGTTCAATGTACTCTCTCTCTCTCTCTCATTTAATTTTTTGCCATGTGAATATTTTATTTAATCGAGTTCAATTTTCGATATTGTTGGTGCAGGAGGTTCTTCTAGTAACAAAGACACAACTGGAGAGAGAATTGTCTTTAGAAGATGTTCACAGAATACAGGAGCTGCCTGCTTATAACATGTTGTTTCATTAGTTTGTGCAGTTGCTCGATTTTCCAATGTACAGTTAAAATAACGAGTCGAACTAGAAGACAGAGAGCAGATCTTTCTTTCTCTGAGCATTAATTAATCGCTTCGACAAATTAAATGTCGAGGGATCATTACATTGAACGATTTCTTGCTAGATTTGTTAGTTAAATATGCTTTACAATTTTGCTTTATGGGCGCGCTATTTTGTTGGTATATGCAGAGCTGTAATCTATCCATATTTCTTCATGATTTTCAAGAATGACTTGTGCAGTGAATTCCCAAACCATATATTGTTTTCGCACGGGGTAACATTTCAAAAAATAAAAAAATAAAAAAATATTTAAAACAAAAATAAAAATATTTTAATACGTGACAATGAAAATAGTAATAATAAATATATTACACAATATATTAAAAAATATTAGGAAAATTAGCATCAACATTCCTATAAATTTGTTAACACAAATGAGCTGAAAAAGTTTAAAAAATTCCATCGTGTTTTACGGTTGAGAAGGTTATTTTTTAAAATATTTGAGAAGCTACGCATCGTGTGCTACGGTTGTAGAAGATAAGATGACATTGGGGTTTTTTAAAAACGTGGAAAGTTTGGTGAAACGTTGATGTTCTGCAGATCAAAAATTACCATTCCCTTGCGATAACAACGAAAACGGTATTTTAATTTTGTTATCTTTGTAATTATTTGGTTTTTTTTTAACTTTTTTATCTACTAATTTTGACTACTAAAATTTTGCTTTATTTGGTATGTCAAGAGAACGGTTGAAAATTAGTAGAGATTTGTTTTTTTTTTTCATAATTACAAATACGCTATTAGGGTTGCTTATATTATGGTATGTGAACGGTTGAAAAATATAATTAGAAAATTAGTAATGAAAAAAAAATAATACAAAAGATACTAGTAGGTTAGTAGAGATAATTTTTTTACTAATATGCCATTATGATTACAATTATGCTATGATTAGCAGTAAAATAGCGCTATTTAGACTATTGAACGTCATTATTATGTTTGGCCATAATAGCCGGAAGAGAAAGACAAAAAAGGGTAAAAATTTAGTTAATCAAATATATTTATAAATAAAAAAAAAATAAAAAAAAATTAAAAAAAAAAAGAATGAAACTGCAACATTGTTGGAAAAAAATTTAATGTTGGACAAAACAAAATTAAAAAAAAGTTATTAGAAAAACAAAAATCAACATTGTTGACGACTGGTCAACATTGATGCAGTTAAAATTGAGGTTAAAGATTAAAATTAATTAATTTGTGAAATTAGGCTTAAACTAAGTTTGGAGAAACGAAATTGAAGAAAATTAGAATTTGAGGGATATTTTTGTTTTGATGGGCTTAAGAATCTTGTTTGACCTTTTAGGTAAAAACATATTTTAGTCTGGACTGCTTTACAAATAATTATATCTCTATGGGCTACTACAAAATTTGCCTCTAAAACTAGACACGGCCCCGGGTCGGGTCGGGTCCGGGTCCGGGTCCGGGTCCGGGTCGGGTCCACTCGGGTCCGTCCGGGTCCGGGTCCAAACCGGTTCTTGAATTTTTTAATTGAATTTCCGGGTCGGGTCCGGGTCGGGTCCGGGTGGACCCGAGTTTATAGCCGTTGAAATTAAAAAAAAAAAAAAATTTGAAATTTTCGGGTCGGGTCCGGTTCGGGTCCGGTTCGGTTCCGGGTCGGGTCCGGGTGGACCCGAGTTTATAGCCGTTGTAATTTAAAAAAAAAAAAAAAATTTTGAATTCCCGGACCGGGTCCGGGCCGGGTCCGGTTCGGGTCCGGTTTATAGCCGGTGCATTTTTAAAATTTTGAAAAAAAAATATTTTTTTATTCAGGTGGACCCGACGGGTCCTCGGGTTCGGGTCCTCGGGTCCGGGTCGGGGTACACACGCCGGGTGGACCCGTCGGATCTCGGGTCCTAAATATCGGACCCGAACCGACCCATACATTTTCGGTCCGAGTCCGGTCCAAGGTCAACGGGCCGGGGCCGGGCCAGGGCGGGGCGGTCACCGGATCGGGTCCAGGGTCCGACCCGGCCTGTGGCCATGTCTATCTAAAACAATTCTTACTTCCCTACAATGTCATTTGTATTGGATGAAAACTCAACGGACTGTATAGAATTGAGGGGCTAACTGTTACATGCACATAGTTTAAGGAGTAAAGTGTATTATTTTTCCCAAACTATTATGCTTACAATATAAAACTAGGGCCGGCTCAAGCCCATATGTGGCCCTAGGCGAAGTAATAAATTTAGGGCCCTTTACATTAATTTTTTAATATAAAATTAAATATTTTTGATATTTTTATTTTAGTTTAAATCAGTGTTCTAAATATCGGTCGTGGCGGTCGATATATCGGCCGCCATATCGGTATCGGTTATAAACCTTTACGATTTTGTTGAGGCGGTTTGGAATATCGGTTTTTTACGGCGAGGCGGTTTGCGGCGGTTTTTTGGCGGGTCAAACCGATATATCGGTCAACAAATCGTTTTTTTTTTTTTTTTTTTTTAATTTAAATTAAAATGAAAATATGTTTGGATTTTTTTTCCTCCAGTTTTTTCAACTTCCAAAACCAAACCAAGTACTAACCCGCAATTTATACTTTGTTGTGTTTATATTAATTATTGATGCGAAAAACTTGTGTAGTATTTGTATTTCGTAAGAATCTTTTATTATATTATGATCTTATTATTTTTAAATTTTTGTTATTTATTGAGTAATTATAATTATATAATAACATATGAATGATAGGATAGAATTATGTTTAAATATACTTTTATATAAATTTTGAGTATTTACAAATATTTTTTTAGAAATATATTACACTAAATTTAAAAACCGATATATTTCCGATTTATCTCCGATAAATCGCCGCCGCGCCGATTTATCGTGTGGCGGTCCCAAACCGCCACGTACCCGATAACCGCCTTTTAGAACCTTGGTTTAAATACACGTATTAAAATTATTATTAATATAAAATTCAGTCTATATATATTAATATTTTTTTTAAATAAGAAAATATAAATTCTATTTCGTATTTGGGGGCCCTAATTATATAGTAAACATAATTTTTGGGGCCCTAACTATAATAATGAAAAGTTGGGGGCCCTAGGCATAGGCCAAAGATGCCTATAGCCTAGGGCCGGGCCTGTATAAAACTATACTTTTTTGATTCATTGGCAACAGAGTTTACAGTTACTTGAAGTGCACCCAGAAAATTTCACTTTTGTATAATCTAGTTTATAAATCAAATGAGATATGTAAACCATATTAAGTTAATTATTTATGTGGAGCTCAAACTAGAAAGTATTGATGATGAGATTTAAATTTGAGTTAAATCACATTACATTATCTTATTCAATTAACTAAATCAACCCTTGAGTAGCAGATAAATATATACTTGCACCAAAAGACGAAATTTCTCGTCCTCATATCCCCCATCCTTCTGTGCAACAAATATTTGACATGTAAATTATGATAACTCAACGACTCATTAGGGTAGCGAATCTGAATTTGGTGTCCACAAGAAACCAACCCTAGTTGAAGTTGAACTTTACACACTGCGCCTGCCAATAATTTATCCCAAGATATTGCACCAACTTACGATCCCGGAAAGCAATTGAGTTATAGTCATGAGGTGCGGGCACAAATAAACCTATACTTAATGCGAATAGAGATGTGACAAGTGATCAAGGACTATACAGCCAAATAGTCAAACGTTGTTGACAAAAATGTTTGGAAAATCCTATCTTTTACTAGTAGAAGTTGAGTGTTGGTGGTTGCACTAAAGCCTTGAATGTTGTTTATATAATTGTTAATTCATGTTGTGTTACAATTTTCTTTTTAATAATTAGCTCTGCACTTGTGATCAGTGTGACATTGTGACTTTTTTTTTTTTTTTTTTTTTTTTTTTAGTTATTTCTTTTATTTGTAGATAATCAGTGGAAACATTTAATGTGTTATGTGGACCATATCTAAAGTGGGTTACTAGAAAAAGTCAAATCAAAACAAACTTATCTATGCGATGGCCCGTGTGTGTCGTTGTGGTTAATGAGATACGGGGAATACGATGCTACACCCGGTAATTTTTACCGGGTGACTCTTTTTTTGACATGTGTCCTTTTTTATTTATTTTATAATTATATTTCTAAAACTCATTGGGCCATAACTGAACCCGTAGTGGGAATTTTATTAATTATGGTGCCTGGTTATATTCACCAGGTGTAGCATAGAATTTCCCATGAGATACACTGTCAGCCTTAATTCTTACCAATCATGTATTTATTGATTTATTTAAATTAAATGTGGGTACTAAACTCTACACTAGGCGTGTGAACGAGCCGAACTCGTATGTTGTAGCAGGCTCGAGCTCGAGTTCATTTTGTCGAACTCAAGTCCAAGCTAATTTTGATTTTTTTTTAATTAAAAAATATATTAGATTATAATAAAATAAATTCAAAATAAACAATAAACTGTAATTATATATACTAGCATTTTTCCCCCGTGCGATGCACGGGATATTATTTAAATAGTCAAAAAAATATTCAATTTAATACATAATAAGAAAATATAGTACAGTAATATAATTTAATAATGTAGTATTATTCATATTGAATTTCTAGCTTTATCTCTTAAAATTTGAGATATATTGATGAAAATTAGGAGATCAATAATTGTTGAAAATTATAGTTAAAAAATTAGTACATAAAAAATATTAAAAATAAATAATTACATAAGTAACAATAAGGTAGTATTCTTCACGGGTTAGTTTTAATTTTGATAGTTGTTAAAAATTATAGTTAGAAATTAGTAGAGAAAAAATATTAAAAATAAATAATTACCGAAATACCATTAGGGTTTGTTAGGGTTGCCCAGCGTTTCTTTCTTTTATTTATAAGATATATATATATATATATATATATATATATATATATATATATATGCGATGCACGGTATATTATTTCGATAGTGAAAAAAAAATCAATTTAATATATAATAAGAAAATATAGTACACTAACAAAGTAAAATTTAATAATGTAGTTCTATTCCTATTTTATATAATATTAGTTTTTTTTTTTTAAATCTTACATATTAACAATTACAATACAAAATACATAGATTTAATCTTAACAAATCGATTTTGTATCTTTATCTCTTAAGATTTGAGATATATTGATGAAAAATAGGAGATTGATAATTGTTGAAAATTAGTAGAGAAAAAATATTAAAAATAAATAATTAAAGAA